ATATATATATATATATATATATATATATATATATATTATGAAGGATCGTAAAAGGATAAAGTAGGAAGAAAAGATTACATACTCCCATGGAATGTCTCCCGCGAGAAGCCAATGTCCATCTTTGTGTTGGTACATGAGCTTGTAACTTGCACCATCTTCATCATTTTCTACATCTAATCCATACACAATCTAAACAAATCATTCGATGCTCAATCTTACATTTTTTTTTTACTTTATAAATAAAATATAAAAGTTTGTTTTATCAGATAATCATTGACGTTTTTATAAAAACTTATATGTCAACATACTTAATTGTCCGTATCCCAATAACACCTATCAGTTAGTCGTATATGTGCACTGTACAACTGATTAATTAACGAATAATTTTTTTAACAAGTAGGTGATTCTAAAAGACATAGGACCACTCAAACTTGTCAAACATGTGGATTACATCAATGTTCTCAACCATTTCAACAAAAATCTGACTTATAGATATGTCTTTCATACGTATCAAAATAAAACTTTCAAGTCCATCATATATATATATATATATATATGTGTGTGTGTGTGTATGTTATACAAATTAATAATGCATCAAAACTAAAAAAATTTGTTGATTTAAAACGACATAGGGACCACTTACACTTGTAAAACATGTACATCTATCAACAATATCAACTTAAATATGTCGTACAGACAAACCTATTCAACACATATCCCAAGTATCCCGATAACCTTTATGAGTTTATAATACATTTATATTGTACAACTTATTAATGCATAAAACTTGAAAGAGTAGTTGAATACTTTATAATACTTTGATAAGGTACAAGTTATTAATGCATAGATTTGAAAAGAGATACTTACACTTGTGAAACATATGGATCAATGTGGAGGTAAGCATTTGATAAGAATGAATAGCATTCAAATCAATTTTTCTTGCAATCCCAACTCCATCCATCTTCACCTTCACAAATAACAACTCATTGTAGTTGTTATTCATCACATTAATATTCTCACCTTCTTCATCCACCCTCCCATTAAACCCTTCACCTCCAGAATGGTTTTCTTCCATGAATCTTTTCCTCCATGAATGCAATGGTGGCCACCCAATTAAACCTTCTCCATCACCATCCATATCCCTACACCCAAATAAGTATTCCTATTAATTTTTCAAGATATATATATATATATATATGTCATGGTCGAAAATACGATTTTTGGGAAGTGAAAACCGTAACCCTACGATGGTTATATGATATTTCTCAGTATATTTGATTTGAATGTAGGGTTTGAAAGATCAAACATAGACAAACATTTCCTCTAAAAAGTTATTCGCTGGCATCGCTGCGTCTCAAAATAATCGTCCACAATTGGAATGACACACAGTTTTAGGCATGTATAATTATTACACTTTTTTGTTAACCAAATAACATTTTTACCCTTATTTCATTTTTCTCTCTTTACAACTCTTAAATATTTATACATTAAATAAGGGTAAATTTAATTATTTACTTTTGAAAGTAAACACTTATTTTAAGACAAATATAAATAAAAATACAAATATTTATTTTGGGATAGAGAATATTAATTAATTTCATCCAAAATTACGGATTCTCGTGCAATGGAAAGTGATTGTTGCAAGATTAATAGAAATGTTAGACACTATATATGATTATAATGCTTTGCATGCCTTTACTTTTTGTAATATAGAAATTACAACATTTTATAAATCACATAATTAGAGAAAATTTATAGATGGTGTGTAGTGAGTAAATAAAATATCATTAAATAATGCAAAATGTGGGTAACTTTGCTGAATATATAACAACAATACTATTAATAATTTATAACAATAACAATAAGCAAATACGTATTTTAGGGGCTGTTTACTAAACGTTTATTTGGAAAGTGCTTATCGGGTAATTTTCCATACCGGATGAACATGACAAAGGTCAAAAATCTTACCCGGTAAGAACAATAATAAAGATGAAAAGTCTTACTCAGTAAGTGAGGGTCACAACTCTTACCCGGTTAAATGCTTACCGGGTAAATTGTTGCATATGATATCATTTTGATGTACTACAATCTTACCCGGTAAAATAAATTATAGTGTTGACTCCTAACGATAAGCACTTACCCGGTAAGCATTTAAGTAAACGGCCCCTTAGTTTCAAATCTACGAAAATAAAGCGTTATAGAGTTGGTTTACTGGATGGTAGTTATTACGATCTGGAAGTTGTACACTTTGTCTCGTATATATAGTAACAGTTGTTCAAAAGGCAAGTTTAGATCACTTTGATATGCAGTTACGATAAGTTTTATATCAAAAAGAAACACACTTACTGCTGGTATTCACCATTGAAGAATCTCTTGTTGTTATCATCATCTTCGTCTTGATTCCATGAAACCCGAGGGAATCGTGTTACAGTCGAAGAACATCGATCATCGTCACCACCATGGAAGCTTTTGTTGATGATGGATGGAGTCTTTTGATAAGGAGGTGAAAGACTTAGCTCAAGCTCCATGATCACAAAGGTAATATTTGTGGTTTCTTTTGCTTGGAAATTTTCAAAGTATTTATAGAACTTAAACGTAGCTACTGTGACAAAATGACAAGGACTTGTACCTCAAGCTTTAACTCTATTATCTTATCAATTATGGATTTATTTTCGTAGTGAAAAAATGTACAACTATTTTCTTAAATATTTTAATTTTATAAAATGTAATGTTTGATTTTGTAGTAAAATATCGGTCTACAAAATCTTCATGATCGACGATGATCATTTTAGTTTTTGTAGGGTTTTTTTTAACTCCTATACATATTTGATTATCAATTAAAAGAAATTTAAATTATGTATGAATAGTTTACACACACCTCAACTAATAATATGAGATCTTGAAGTTAATAAAGAGAAACACATATATATATATATATAGAGAGAGAGAGAAAAAAAAGGTTCTGTGTAACTAACAAAGTATTTCATTAAAACTAGTGAAATGCATAATGAGATGTAAAACTTTATTTAAACCAGGAATGAAAAATTAAAGGAATACCACATAAATTAAATCTCAAGTTTATGAAATAATTTACGGTATTTGTATGGCCCAATGTTTTTCATATATTTAAGAGTAAACTACAGTTTTGGTCCCTATCGTTTACATGAATCACTGAAAGTGGTCCCTAGGCTTCAATAACTACGATTAACATTCCTACTGTTTGCATTTTTGTGTTAAAAGTAGTCCCTACGTCTAACTCCGTTAGAAAAGCAGTCGTTAAAGGCCCCATGTGACCCTCACATGAGGGGTAATTTCGTCTTTTCATGTTTTCCCTCTCATTTAATCTGACTTTTTTGTATTTACTCTTTCTTTTATGCTTCTTCAATCATCTTATTCTATCTTCTTCTTCTATTGTCTTCTACTCTTCTGCTCCATATGGACTACCTACAAAAATGGAGCTTTTGTCACTATGGTGCACCAACAATGGTAAGAACTTCGTAGACCAGTAAAAATCTTGGTCGTAGGTTGTATGGGTGTCCAAGGAAGGTCGAAAAGTGCGATTTTTTTTTTTTTGGTACGATCAATAGTTGTGTCATCAAGCTATGGATATCATACCTAGTTTACTAAGATCAAAGAACAAAGTTGAACCTTCCCTCAAAGCAAAATAAAAGGAAATTTTGAATTTGAAGTTTTTATTTGTAGCACCCCAGGATCCACATTTGCATATAATCATGTATTTTATATATCAAGAAATACAAATACACATTCGGTCCCAAATATATATTATATATATATATATATATATATACAAAAGCTATATTATAAAAGTAGCTACAAGATTTTCTACAAGATTTTCTACAAAATCTCTATACAAAACTTGTACTCATAAACAGTATGCATGTACAAGTAACAACACATTATCCCAAAATTCATATACAGGAAATCATATATTTCTTCATAAATTTCGTTTTCCCTTATCAATTGGTTGTCTGACTTGTAATGCACATTTTAAAACACCAAAATGAGGGTTAGATCTTGAGGTCTAGTGAAAAATTCTTTTTTATGCAATTACAGGGTGAATATAACCAAAACCCTTTTATTAAACTCATATTTGTAATAAATAGCAAATATATAATGTTTTGACAAAGCAACCCTCTTTTGTCACATCAAACCACAAAATACCCATTTATTGTATAACATATGAACTCAGTGCTTCATATTAAACAAACCATAATTTTCTCATAACACCTTAGGTGCGAGAACCCCATTTACTCGTAACACGTTGGTGTGATTACGACACACTTCATCACATCAAAGAGCATATGCAAGACCAACCAGAGCCCCTCTAGTCTTTAAGGACCACAACCCCTCTGGACTCACCCACCAAAAGCAAGGCCAACCCAAAAGCAAGGCCTAGAACTAAGAGCTCAGATACAAAACTCGGACACAGAGGGTATGAAGACCAAAGTCTTGTGCACAAATAGCTAAGTACTCGGATACAGAGCTCAACTCCTAGACATAGAGCCTTTACATAGTACATGCAGAGACTCTGGGTCTCCAACTTAGCCCGTCTGTGTAAAGGTTCTATGGCTCATCTTACAAGAGTTCCAATGAACAATCAGAAGCAAAACCATCCAGAAGTCAGACCAACTAGAGGCCCTCTGGTCAACCAGAACCCCTCTGGTCCTTAAAACAATAAGAAGTTTGTTAGGACCAAAATTTTTCTAAATATCATGAAAGTTTTATTAAAGAAAATTGGGCCAAGAATGGAAGTCTGTAGATTTATCTTCAAAGATCTGAAAAAGAAGACTTCAGAGTTTGGGTGAAAAATACTTCAAAGTTACAAGTCTGAAGAGTCATTCTTTAGAGTTATAATTCAGAGTTATATTTAATAGGTAAAACTTGCATCATACATAGACCAATCAGAGCTCCTCTGCTCTTACCAACGAGAGCATGACCAACCAAAAGTAAGGCTAACAAGGCCAACAAGAAGCAAGAGTCAACAAGAGCCCCTCTGGCCAACCAAAGCTTATGGGTTGATAAAATATTAAATACTTGAAGGAATTTGGATTTTAAATACAACCAGAGACCCTATGGTTAAACATGAAGACCAACCAGAGCCTCTCTGGTTCCTCAACAACCAATCACTTTATCAAAACATAATTTATCGCATCAATAGGACGTGACAACCCCAAGTTCTACACAAATGCGATAACCCAAATTCATCGCATCATAAGGATGTGATAACAATAACTTCTCATCAAAACCCATATTTCACAACTTATTGCATCCATCTCAAATTCATCACATTATACAAAGCACTCAGAAGCAAGGTCATCCAAGAAGCAAGACCTTCCCAGTAAAAGGTCATCTCAAAAGCAAGACCTTCCCAATAAAAGGTCATTTTAATCGCAAGGCCATCCCAGTAGAAGGCCACCCCGAAGCAAAACCCTCCAAGTAAAAGGTCATCATTTCCAGAAATTGATTATGCCACTCTTATCCCAATATACCCAGCTCCTTGATATGACACCCTTATTTCCACATATGATATAATCATGATAAAATCCACCTTTTTGCCAATAATGGTATCAAACTGTTTTATCTCAAAATATCATATGAAGAACCATGCAGTTCCTATACCTAGTTTTCAAATAAGGAAAGTTTTAAACAAAAACTCACCATCATACTAAAAATAGCACATAATCTTTCAAAAACACCCAAGTAAGAAACCATATGGTTCCTTATTAAAACCATACCAAATGAAGGTTTAAAGTAAAACTTACAATGAAAAACTCACCTTATGATCACAAAAATGAAGATGAACAACAACACGTATTGAGATTATAATCACAAAATCAACTTCTATTTCTCCCCTTTTTTGGTTTTGGTTTCTCTCAAACTTTAGAACACATAAGCTTTTCTTTCTTTTTCTCCCAAAATCAATGAGATAAGATTACTCATTTTAAATATTAAGAGGCGATGGCGGGACTGACATTTTAAAATATTTTGTTCTCACACCCTCCAATGAGATAACAAAAGTATCTCATATAAAATAACCATATAATCAATAAGAGGCGGTGATATTTATAAACATTTAAGCACATAAACAAATTAAATCCTTCAACTTTGTAACTGAAAAACTCGGTTATCACATTATTGGTTGTTAGTTGGGTTCTATTTATTTTTTACATTTTTTGTTGCCCTAATCCAAAGTAGGGTTTGAAATTTAATCCTTATTACTATCTTTGTAATGTTGAGCAAAATTAATGAAAACCTATTTGTTCCATCAATCCTTCAACTTCATAATTTGTAATTGTAGCAAAAAAAAAAAAAAAAGCAATTCATATACACAAATGTAAATAACTGTTTCCTACCTATAATGCAGTAAATGCAATTGCACAAAAGGGAACAAACCATAAATAACTTAAATTCATGACACCAAACAAAAGGGAACATTGTTCCATCAAAAGGGAACAAACCATAAAGAAAAAGGGAACATTGTTCCATTACAGTACACAAAGGGAAACAAATATATTCAACCATTACATAAAGTTCCAAAACATCACACAAAAGAAACTTGTTCTATAACCAAAATACAATCCATTTGTCATCTATATTACTTTGCAAGTCCTTGAATTATGACCTTGCTTCTTGCACTTTGCACATGTGACAATCTTCACTTGGCTAGTCAATTTGATTTTTTTTCCATATGTTCCAATCATCTTTTCATCAACACCCTTCTTTCTTTTCTTCTTTCGCCTCCCAATCTGTTTATGATAGTTTGGTGCAACCAATGTTGTTCGGCAGTTAGATTTAGGCCAAAAAGGTTTACCATTGATAGGTTCTATTTTGAAGTTGTACATTTCTTTCAAAGTGTTAAGTCAATAAGTAGGATCAACCCATTCTTCAGGCGACCGAGCCTCTGTTCCATTTAGATCCATGTTCTAGTTTGTAGCAATAATATGCTTACAAAGGATGCCAGTTAGTTCCACCTTCTACATGCACAAGTTCTTGCATTTATATCAACTATCACTTGATCATTCCAAGGACCATATACCTCAAACCTATCTCCTTCATTCCATATCACATGGTATTGGGATGTTTCACTCTTGATTTTTTCTATTGTTTTAAATGTTATGGGAGTGAGTGGTCAATCAGCTTTATTTATGACTTTCATAACATGAACGATCCTCTTCATAAGGTAGTGTCTAATGTACTCCAAGGAATAAATGATTGGTTTATCCCTACCATCAATTATTTGTCTATTGAAGACTTCACACTATTGTTCTGAAGTATATCTGAATGACACCTACGTGAGTTTGTAACATAACTAAAGCATATTCTTTAATGTGTGTAAATTAACTTAAATTAACTTGAGTGAAGTTAACAAGCACCTATGAAATTGGACCTAGACCAATGTTGAGGAGGGATCTGGTTCAACCACTCATAACATGCTGGATTGAACTTTCTTAACACATCCATTACACTTTGAAAATGGGGGACAATTGTAGTTGTTGCACATTGCCAAAGATGGTTTTTGTATGCTTTCCCCTTCCC